TGTTAAGCGACGTCCAGATCCACTGGCCACTCCTAACACAGTGATTATCTGTTTGGGCCTCGATTTATGTCTAAGTGGCACAAAACCAGCCAATGTATAATACTGTTCATTTCCCAGCACACATAAATGATCTGGGAAAAATATCCAAAAGGTGCTAACTATCCAGGACCTCTGAAGCTATGCTTGCCACTCTGCACGGAGCACACCGGTTTCCACCTTTTTCAACATGCTCTGTAAGTCACTTACAATCCCGACAGCTGGTTCTCAGACCAGCGGCAGGCTGCAGTTATCGTCTCCACCTCCATTCTCAAACTTGATGCTGTATTGTATGCCAGGCTTTGTTGCACAAAGCGACGTCCTTCGTTTTTGCTATGAAAACCAATCCACTTCTTCTCCTTGTCAACACAAAGCCATCTGCATATATAATCACATCACCTTGGTTGGAATTGTCATAAATCATTTGTTGAGCTTCTGATTCTGCAAATGTGATTAGAACCCTACACAAGTATGATTGTTGCTCGCACACTCTGACCCACTACCCTCCTCAACCAGTATTCTCAAGCCTGCACACGTGTCTAATTTTGTCTTCAGCTTGTACCATTGAAGACCTTTCTGTTTTCAGTCTCTGATCCTTAGCTCTATCAATGGCGTCAACAGAAGATGCTTCTTGTCTTCGGCTAATCTAAGAGATGACTTTACTTGCAGAACTTTGAGCCTATCTGTAATAGTCGGTAGTGCCAGTATATATCGCATAAATGCTACTGAGGCATTTCTTGTAAATCCCAAAATTACCTACACGGCTTTGTTCTGTGTACGTTCGAGTTGCATCAACTGACTCTTAGATACAGTAAGCATTCAGAGCCCATAATATATTACCAAGACGATTGCACGATGGAACATTGTGAACAGCATCCTTTGTTTTATATTCAATGCTGTCCTAATCTTGGATGCATTGATTCCTTTTTGATATTTTAATACAGCTATATCCACGTGATCCCTAAAGTGATACGCTGTGATATCCTGTAGTGGTTGGTTTAGAAAAGCTATACACCTGCCGTTTACTACCTCGGATGAGAAAGGAGGAGGCGGTTTTGGCGTAGGGCCAGCTCCTGCACCCTGTAAAAAATCATTTGTTACAGAAGCTTGCTGGGAAGGATGCCATTCAGGTAAACAAATGAGTCAAGTGTTGTATGATACACAGAGTGCATGTATGACGGTGATGGATGAGAACCGCTCTACGGAATTCAGTGGCCAGACTTGCATACTACTTGACTCAAAAATATTCACTAAAATAATTGTTTGTTGGTATGTTAGGACTATAGCGAAATCAACAAAATCCGCCAATATGACAGAAGAAATGAAGAGATATTAACTAGATATTTTAGGGTTAAGTGAAGTTAGGTGGCTAGCAGCCGATATAAAAGTGGTTAGTGGGTTTACCCTTACATACATACTCAAGAAGATAATTTGGAAAGCACACGGAAGAAGTGGGCAATATGAGGACATCTAGGAGGACAATATGAGGACATCTAGGAGGACAATATGAGGACATCTAGAGCTGTGAAATGTCTGCTGGAAGGGGAGCCTATTTCAGACAGAATAATTAAAGCTAGGTTTAGTACTAGACATATTAAAATTACCATCATTCAATGTTATGCCCAAACTAATGATGCCGAGACCGAGGATAAAGAAATATTTTATGACCAACTGCAGCATCAAGTAAATACACTTTATATTCAAGACCTAGTGGTAGTAAATGGGAGATTTTAACACAGAATTAGGTAGTAAAAATATGGAAAGAAAGGAGTTAACATAATTAATGAATATGCAGTTGGGTGACAGTCTGGTATCACATTCCATATACCAATGTTTATGATGTTACTGACATTTACTTTCTCTACAGTAAATGGTGAAAATATTGGGGTGACTGCAGTCAAGCTAATACAAGGAATTCCAGGAAAAATTTAACTAAAATGCTTAACCAAATGGAAAAGCAGAAAAACGTGCACAAAAACAAGACAAATAACGTAACGTTTCACACGGGCAGCCTTTGTCAAACCACGGCCAACTCTAGATATACAGCCGGACGTGGTCAAACATTCAATGAACTACACAAACGTAACAACGAGGAGAGATTTGATTTGATTTGTTTTGATTTGATTCGAGAACCGACATCACAGCACTCGGGGCATTCCCATAAGCGCTCCGTCCCCATCTTCAGCAGCCAGCGAAGAGTTCCGATACTAATGGTGCCAGTAGCTTTTTGATTAAACGTCCGTCTAGCCTTTCCTCTGAGCCTTGAGCTTCTGCCAGAACCTCTCGTCACCCCCAACTGCATCAATCTCACCAGACTGTGGTGATCCATCTGCTCATACGCATTGTACACACTCTCCCACAAGGCACTAACCACGTCTGCCTTATCATGTGGCAGTATTCCACCAAGTTGTGCAGAGCCAGCCAGTCTGTCCGCCTGTTCAATTCCCAACACACCGGCGTGACCCGGTGAAAAAATCCAGACAATACTCCTCACTCGTGTCCTCCGCAGCGAAGCATGCCACTCTGCACGAAGCATACCTGTTTAGATATTCCTCAGCATGCTTTCTGAATCAGTTACAATTACAATGTGTGTGTGTGTCGTGTTCTCTAGCCAGCGGAAAGCTGTAGTGACCGCCTCCACCTCCATTCTTAAGCTGGACGTTGTGGTATCATATGCTAGGCTCTCCTGCACCAAACGTCGACCATTAACTTTTGCTAAAAAGCCCCAAACACTTCTTTTGCCTCTTGACACTGAACCGTCTGTGTAATCAAATCCTCTGAGCGAGCATTATCTTGAATTAATTGCTGAATTTCCACATCTGTGGCACCTGCTGGCCATCTGCATTCCCGGCTCAGCGTGATTATGACTCTACACAAGTCTGAATGCTCAGGTGGCACTTTGACCCACTCCTCTCCTCGCCTAATGTTCTCAAGGATGCAAACCTGTCTGATTGTGTTTTCTGCCAGAGCCATCCATGACCTCCCTCTTATCAGCCGCTGACCCTTAACTGCACCCAGAGCTTCATGCAGAGGGTGGTCTGTGTCTGAAGCTATCCTGAGATATGACTTCGCCTGCATCACCTTGTGCCTACCTGCAACCGTCGGCAAACCAAGGATGTATCGCATACATACCACTGGGGTGTCTCTGATGCAACCCAGAATGACCCACATAGCCGCGTTCTGTATGCGCTCTAGTTTGTCCATCTGACTCTTTGAGACGGCAAGCAGTCCCAGGCCATAATCCACCACTGGCAGGATCAGGTCAACAAAACAACAACGAGGAGAGAAGAGTATTCAGCTCTCTAAGGGGTGATGTGAGCAACGTTTTTAAAAAAAATGTGAAGTGAAATAAATGAAAAAAAAAATAAAATAAACAGTATGGAAAAAATATAGTCGCAAAAAAAATTTATATTGGTAATATATAATATAATAGTGGGAATAAAAGAAATACAAATGATAATGATACATAGGTGATACTGATAAGACATAGAATAAAGTAATAATATGAAATAAAAGAAAAGAATTAACATTTAAAATGTGACAAGAGTGAATCTGTTTAGATGAAGGTATGTTGGATATTGATACCACCTGGACTATGAACGCCTAGACTGTGGATGAGGCGATTTTCCAAAGCAAGGCGCGTAGTACGATCGTTATAGCAAGATTTTAATGCTGTGACAAATATATCATCTTTACCTCTGTGGTCAGAGCTGTTAAAATGGAGAGTGATTGGTTCAAGTGTCTTAATATTAATAGCCCTGACCACAGAGGTAAAGATGATATATCTGTCACAGCATTAAAATCTTGATCTGGCATTTGGTTAAGCTTTGTAGTCAAATTTACCAGGGATTTCGGTTTCTTATACAGTAGCTGGATAACGGTCGGTTATCACCCGTTGAACGCGGTGATTCCGTTAGACAACCCTCCCCCTTCCCTAACAATATAGTCCGAATACGACTGGTTTAAATTCATGATTTTCTAGGGAAAATACAGTAATGGTTTTCCCTCGACTTCCTCCGATTTGTTTATGGTTTAACCTCAAAAGGCTTTTTCTAAAGAGACATACCCTGCAAGGCAACGAGGGGGGGGGGGGGGGTATAATGTCGCTTCTTACCCGCCGATGCCCATGTCAAGCAGTTTTGAGGTATTTTTAAAAGCTTGCCGTCTCACCAGCTAACTCACCTCCTCTCAATGACCACCGTCTGTTTTCAGCCACGGCCGCTTATTAAATATGTTCGCGGCTAACCTCTCTATCTAGAGGCTGTTCCAACATCTCCCACCCGGTGGACGCACCTAGTAGTAGGACAGAACATTCTGTGCAATGAATCCATGTCATTGGAGTTTAAAGAAAAAATTCTTACAGGCTATATAGAGCCACTTTCATCATATGATCGTGAATCCAGGACAACCAATATTGTTTATTGAAGTCTCGGACATTTGATTTTTACATAAGAATCCTAAGAATTCATTGGACAGCCACAAAGAGCAACCTAGATGTTTTGAAAGAGGCGAGGGCATGCAGATAGCAAATCTCAAACATCAGAAAGAGAAAGTCATTATTATTTGGTCTTTTTACAAGAAGAAGGAAACTGGAACATGTTGTGACCACTGGAGAGATCTGTGGAAAGAGAGTCAGAGGAAGACAACATGAGAAGGTTCCTGACATCCTTTTGCCTGTGTCAACACAGGAACTGATTGATACACGCAGTTGCCGATCACAGATTGTTGAGAGGCATGAATGCCAACACCAGTCGGCACGACACTTGACGATGATGATAAGTGACGTCATCAACATTGTCTTTGCGTAAGACGTCATTTCGTACACTTCCGGTGAATAACATCTACTCTACATTCTCTAGGCAGACTTGAGTCCTAGGTTTGTTTACACCTTTATAGATAGAGAGAACGAACGAACGAACGAACTTTTTTTGTAAAGGGTCACCAATTGTTGGAAGAAAACTAGCATGACTCGACACGGAAGAAACTGTACGGCCGGCACTGTCTATACCTACCATGAAAGGAAAAAAGATGCACAAGCTTCTGGCTTTGGGTCACTATCACTTCGTTTTGGAAAGGATGCCGTCAAGGTAATTTATTTAAAAAAATATTCACATTCAGGTAATTGAGAATGATTAAATTTAATTACAGCTGTATTTTTAATTTATGATTTATATAATTATATGTTATGTATGTTGTCATATTAATTAGAGGTTGACCATACATTCACACAAGCGATGGATGGTTGGAACTTCAACACATCAGTTCAGTTCAGTCCAAGCACCAGCACATCTGTGTATAAGTGTATAAGTAGTTAAGTACTCTAACAATAGCTGCACATACCAAGACTCTCACCCGAAGTTTCTTCACAACCTGAAGACGCTCAAACTACTGAGATGTAGAACAGAACAAACAAGACTAGAGAAGAAGACACATTTTATTCTAACTATAGGCTTTTAAATTTGTAGCAAAATAAAATGAAACATTTTATGCACCTAAAAAAAAACAACTCAACTGTACAATTAGAAATTAATCAGAACTGTTATTTAAATTGCTTATTTACCTATGACACATTGACTTTATTTTATTCTTTTGTACTGTATAGATAGCATTAACGGCTCTCCTCCGAACTTCTACCCCCGCATTATGGCGGCCTGAAATATACGTTCTGGGCTCAGTCCAATAAAAAATGCAGACTTTCTGCCAAGGAACAAATCGCGGCAAAACTAGGATTACTTGACAATTTCAAGAGACGCAACATTGCAGAAGATAGTAGCAGACGATAAAAGCGACAGTGACAATGTCGAGCGTTTCTGCAGACGATACTAGCAGACGATAAAAGCGACCGTTGACAATTTCAAGACATTACTGACGATGAAAGCAATATGGTGGGTAGACCACGCGCTCCCACGCAGATTAGCAATACTGTTCTTCCGATTGAGGATTTAGCAGCTGTAGATGTCAGACTTGTCAGCATGCGCAAAACGCGATTAAACTCACTGCTGAGCGTATCCCCCGTGCCACTAAGCGCTGCGCGGATGGGGGGCTAAACTAGGTGCCTGGGACTCACGAGCAAAGTAACTGGATCAAGTTGCAGGAGATGCGGTAGCTGCTGCTCGTGAGTCCCAGCCATCTAGTTTAGCCCCTATCCACGCCGCACGTAGCGGCACGGGGGATACGGTCGGCGGTGAGGCATAGACACAGAAACAGGTCCGCAAGTAACATATCGCTGAGACTCTGTTAGAGCATTTGTTTCGTTTTTGCGAGCCAATCCTAGATTTGGCGTGATTTATTCGTCGGCAGAAAGTCCGACAAGTCCCCATTTTGAATATTTAATCCTCCCCAGAAAGTCCGACAATAGAAAGTGTCAACGGTCGCTATTATCGTCTGCAATGTGCAATGTTGCATCTCTAAGAATTGTCAGGTAATCAGAAACAATAAGAAGCAGGTCCCCAAGAACATATCGCTGAGACCCTGTTAGAGCATTTGTTTCGTTATACGGAGCCGGCATATTTTTAATAGAACTAAGCCCCGACCGGATATTTCAGGCCACCATAATGCGGAGGTAGAAGTTCGGAGGAGAGCCGCATTAACAAACCACTGACCTGAAGCTGATGAAACATAAAATTGTCAACATTTTGGAGATAATCCACACAAATTATTAGTCAGACAAAGTGAAAAAAAAGTTTGTTACTGTCAGAAAACAGCAGATCTGTAATTGTAAATTATGACATTTTAAGGCTGTGGGAAATAAATCTAAGACCACATGCGGACATTCTTGTTGATCTGTACAGGAGTTTTCCAGATATTTGTTCAAGTTTGAGGGTACAGCTTTTGGAATGGACTTTCCTTAAAAAAAAAAAATGGACTGCCACTTAACATCAGAAGCCTTACATTTGTTAACTGTGATATCATCATCATCATCAACTGCCTTGTAGACTGATGTGCTTTTCCACATCTCAGAGTCTCCTGTCATATATAAGTCTGTGTGTACACACCTACCATATATCAGTCTCTGTGTGTACACACCTACCATATATAAGTCTGTGTGTAGACACCTACCATATATCAGTCCGTGTGTACACACCTACCATATATCAGTCTGTGTGTAGACACCTACCATATATCAGTCTGTGTGTACACACCTACCATATATCAGTCTGTGTGTAGACACCTACCATATATAAGTCTGTGTGTACACACCTACCATATATCAGTCGCTGTGTGTACACACCTACCATATATAAGTCTGTGTGTAGACACCTACCATATATCAGTCTCTGTGTGTACACACCTACCATATATCAGTCTGTGTGTAGACACCTACCATATATCAGTCTCTGTGTGTACACACCTACCATATATCAGTTTGTGTGCACACCTACCATATATCAGTCTGTGTGTAGACACCTACCATATATCAGTCTGTGTGTAGACACCTACCATATATCAGTCTCTGTGTGTACACACCTACCATATATCAGTCTGTGTGTAGACACCTACCATATATCAGTCTGTGTGAACACACCTACCATATATCAGTCTCTGTGTGTACATACCTACCATATATCAGTCTGTGTAGACACCTACCATATATCAGTTTGTGTGTACACACCTACCATATATCAGTCTGTGTGTACACACCTACTATATATCAGTATGTGTGTACACACCTACCATATATCAATCTGTGTGTACACACCTACCATATATCAATCTGTATGTACACACCTACCATATATCAGTCTCGTGTACACACCTACCATATATCAGTCTGTGTGTACACACCTACCATATATCAGTCTGTGTGTACACACCTACCATATATCAGTCTGTGTGTACACACCTACCATGCCTTGATTTTAAAAAAAAACTGGAAGATTCTTTTCTTATTGTCCTCTCTTTCTTTACATCTTTCTAGTTATCAAAATATATTAAGTTTTTTCAATTGTGACGCCATGTCTTGAGACCACTCGGCACCCGAGTACATATAATTTTTTTGGCGTATACCCAGGATAATTTGTGTTTTTAATTTGATTCAGGAATTTGACTGCTGCAGCTTGACCTTGCAACCTTGCAAAGAGCCAGTTGTCACGTAAGTACTTTTAACAAAGACCACGTTTGTCTTGCTTCTAGATCATCTCTTAAATGTTGATATCACGCATGATGTAAGTACTTCTAATAATGACCATGTTTGTTTTGCTTCGAGATCATCTCTTTAATGTTGATATCACGCATGATGTAAGTACTTCTAATAATGACCATGTTTGTCTTGCTTCTAGATCATCTCTTAAATGTTGATATCACGCATGATGTAAGTACTTCTAATAATGACCATGTTTGTCTTGCTTCTAGATCATCTCTTAAATGTTGATATCACGCATGATGTAAGTACTTCTAATAATGACCACCCACTGCCTACCCAAAAGCATGTCGTCAGAGTCAACTGATTGGAAGCTTCCTTCAAAGTCGGAGTTCATCTGCCTATGAGGCGAGGAACCAGCAGTCTGCATACAGATAAGACAGACAGTCTGCATACAGATATGTCGGATCTGTAGAACGGATGCGCATGCAACACTCAGGGTCGGGATGAACAAACAGAACTTTCCGCCGGAGTTTACAGCTGGCGAGCTCAAAGAAGAAGAATTACTATGTTTGTCTGGCTGGCAAAGAGCGAGTAGTCACGTAAATGCTTTTAACAATGATCAGGTTTGTCTAGCTGGCAAATGTAATCTTTTAAATTTTGATAACATGCCTTACACACCTCCATCCCCATCTATCACTAAAAAAAATATTTTCCATGTTTTGCATTCCAGCATCAGGTTTTGAAGAGGTTTTTGATGAAAGCCTTGGTGTGTGTTGCATAGATACTGTTTTTTGCTTGTGCAAGCAGTTTTTAGCTCTGCTTCCATTATGTCTGAGTGGTAGGGCTGTCTGTGGTGCACTGTCTTGTGGTAATCTCGATACATATTCAGACCATTTGATGTGCTATCTCTTGCATAATGTAAGGAAAGGCATATATGTTTTAAAAATTTAAGGGCATTGTAGAGGGTAAGGATCTGACTAGTCATTTTATGTTATGTTATTTCATGGTCGACGTTACTATTCATTTGGCATTCTGATGTGTTCTCACTCCTCCGATGCAGCAACCACTCCAGGGTACCTCTACTGATTGATCCCATCAGGAGTTGGTCCTATCTTGGCCTCAAAGATGGCATATTCATGCTTTAGTCCGCGGCTGTGCAATCCTGTCAGAGATTCATCAATATCTACTAACCAAGCCTGAACCGTGTTGATGATGTCTGCTCTGTCCATGCTTCTTGTCACTTGCGCTGGTATATTTTTGAACCTACATCACTCATGGAAAGCAAGAACAGTAAGCCATCAGTAGTCCCACATATAGAGGAAATACAACCTAAAAACTCCCTGTTATGGCAAGGCAGACCAGCGTCTTAGCTTTAGATCACAGCTGGTCTAGGAGGTAAGCTTTGAAACAAATGCAGAGTAAGCACTGCTGTTCTGATCTGGTAGCTTTTGCAGCATGCTTTATTCCAAATGTTTTGATGTTACATTTCCATTGGAGCTAACAAGGCAGGTGGAAAGAGACATCCTTCTGCAAGGCAAAACATGATGTCTATGAAACTGCCCCGGCTTTGTGCTATAAAGGGGGAACTTGATCCATAGTTGTGATTTCTCTGTTCTCTATAACACTATCATTTTAAAAGATTGAAAAGTGCAAGTCAAACAAACTCCCATCTATACAGGGGGATTCTAATACTTTTGTTTATTTACAGAGAAGATGGCCATTTATATGATAAAGAAGCAATCCTGAAAAACATTCTTCATCAGAAAAAGGAGATTGCAAGAAAGTTGAAGGAGTATGAGAGACAGAAATCTAGATTAGATGTGAGTAGTTTAATATCGCTGTAGCATGACAGTGTTGCACTGTGTTGTCACAGCTGATATTATACATCAGGCATACCCATGAATGTTCTATCCTCCTGTGCAGCAGCTGTCACAAGGTAGCTTTACTGTGTCTCATTTTTGTAAGTTCATTAAATAAATTATAGTTGATACTTGCCTGTGTCTACCACAGAAACTTGACATATTCTCCCCCCCCCCCCCCCCCCCCCCCCCCCCCCCCCATTTCCTGGTGTGGCAGGTTCCGGGACCCCACTATGGGAAGAAAACAAATAGACCCACCGCTGCTAATAAGCATGTCACGACGTTGCAGAACCAACTCCAACAGCCCCTGGCTGTTGTGTGGTTTTTCTAAGAAAATTTACACCCAGTAGTTTGCCATTGCTTTCTGGGCGGTCGGCTTTCTTGATACCACCCTCGAAACCAACGCAATGCATGCCCCGCAGCTGGGATCGAACCCGGCATTACGAAGCGTTTGCATCAACTTAGCCACAGAGCCGACTATTGTGGCATAGGCGTAATTATAAAATATTTGTTTCAACCAGATTTCCAGCGCTGAATCACCTTGCCCTTTTTTTTTTATAGACATGTTCAACCTGGTGCATTATGATGTTTCACCCATCTTCTTTCGCACTGGGTCAGGTGAAAGTCAGTTTCCTTTATGTAGCCATTTGGCCTTGTTAAATCCCCCATGACTGCTGCTTGGTTCAGCATCATTAGCACTGGTTGTCATGTTGGAGTTTCATACCTTATCTTCTGTCTTATCCTCATACCTTATCTTCTGTCTTATCCTCATACCTTATCTTCTGTCTTATCCTCATACCTTATCTTCTGTCTTATCTTCTATCTTATCCTCATACTTTTCTTCCTTATCTGTCTTATCCTCATACCTTAACTTCTTCCTTATCTTCTATCTTATCCTCTCATACCTTATCTTCTTCCTTGTTTCTAGCTAAAAGTGCCACACAGCCCCACCTGCCCAAAAAACACACACAAAGAACAAAGCCAACTCTTGTCCTTAATAGTAAACACGGTTTTCATCCTACTTTCGTCCCCCCCCCCCTCTCCCCCCACAATTTCAAAAACAAAACAAAAAGTAGTCCTCTGTTAGTCTTCTTCAGCATTCCTGGCCCTTTTGGTTCATTGTTGTAACAAGTTGTCTGGAATGAAGACATTGTGAGGGACACAAGGGACTGGTGTAGTCAGCTATCACACACTTGTACTAATTCTGAGAAGGATTTCTAAGAACCAATGGATCTTGTGGATAATTTGTGAAAATGTGACCTATCAGAGAAAGAAAACTGCTGATAGAGACGTCTGGCGATCTCTCTGGCAAACCTCTACACCCCAAGGTAGAAGGAGAGCGACTAAGTAAAAAAAAAAAATGACCTATCAGATAGATGTTAGCTTAGATGATTTCAGAATGGTTATAAAACAAGAAATAGTTGTTACAGTTAACAAGATGTACACACTATTAGTTGGTTCCAATATTATTATAAAAACATTCTGGTTGACAGTTATTTTCACAAAAAATTTCACTTCTATCCATGAAATAATCTTGTGAAAATAAAAATAAAGAGAGCTGATGTTGCTGCTTTGGTAGGCAGATTTTTTAGTATACACTGACCAAACATACAAAATAAAAATAAACAAGTAAAAACACTAATGTTGCGATGTTTAGGGCACACAGTGAGAGATGAGCACATCTGGCTTTTTTATTTTAACTGAAGGAGCTAATACAGTTTATAATAATTAGCTAAAATTGTGGGGTTTACTATTAGCTTTTATCAAATTTGTTTTTTGGTTTGTTTGTCTGGTACAGTTTTTGTGTTTGGCATTTATACTATGCACTGATAAAATATTTGGCAGATATTTTGCAAACACATGTTTCATTTTTTGTTTTCATGTGCAGAAGCATGTCGTTTCTTCTCAAATCCTTGTTCATTCCCCGCATTCACAGGGGCATTTGTGGCTAATTGTGAAGCTAGTTAATTAATTAGCAGGTATCACTGGCGTATTAATATATCCACAGAAAGAAGCTGCAGAACTGGCCAGGGCAGAGCAAGAGTCTAGAGGACAGAAGTTTGCACAACAAGAATCTAATCCTATAGGCCTCAAATATGGTATGTTGATATAAAAAAAATATTAAAATTTCAGTCTGAGGGAAAAAAGAATAGACAAACTGCCTCCCAAAAAGTTTAGATTAGGTTTAGACGATGGATTAACATAATGGGCCAAGGGTAGTAACCCATAATGCTCCATTCTACTTCTGACTCAAGCCTGAATCCGAAGAATCTCAGTGCAGTGCATGAACTCTGTAAATACTTTGGGTAGATTTTTAACTCAAAATTTTGCCCGGGCAGTGCAGTTAGGTTACTCTTTCTCAATTTCCAGCTGCAAAAAGATGTTTTTTTCATGCGCAACAGTGCACACATACGTCCGATCTTACTTACCTAGAGACCAGGGGATATTACTAAAAGTCCATGTGGAAAAACCCCCAGCTTTCACCGGGGCTTGAACCCGAGACCTCCAGCACTCAAGGTGGATGCTATGCCTGAAGACCATGCAGTCCCCCACAAGTATATCGTACAAGGCAAGTGAATAGAATAGTTTTTTTTCGTAAGAGGGCTCAGGAACTAACAGTCTTCACACAAATAAGCTACATCTGTAAAACAGATGTGTTAGCAGAATTTGAGTTCTGGATTAAAAGCAAAAGCCAGAAATGGCACAAGCAAAACAGAACTTTCCGCAAGTTTACAGCCTGTCAACGCTAAGAAGAAGAATTCAATATTATGTTTGTCCTTTAGTCAGACATTGAGGCTTATCTGAAACCGTGTAGACAAATTCCATTAATCAAATATATGAAAGAGAGAGCTTCTGATCATCAGAAGCTGCCATTTCCTGGTTTATTGCAACATGTTTACCATCTCAGTGTTAGCTCAAGATGTTTACCATCTCATTGTTAGCTCAAGATGTTTACCATCTCAGTTTTGGCTCAAGATGTTTACCATCTCAGTTTTGGCTCAAGATGTTTACCATCTCATTGTTAGCTCAAGATGTTTACCATCTCAGTTTTGGCTCAAGATGTTTACCATCTCATTGTTAGCTCAAGATGTTTACCATCTCAGTTTTAGCTCAAGATGTTTACCATCTCATTGTTAGCTCAAGATGTTTACCATCTCATTGTTAGCTCAAGATAAGAAAAGGAGAGTTAAAAAGAAAACCAAAGCAGCTGATAAATGTGCTGTTCGTACCAACTTTCTGCTATCGGTGCCAAACATGGACAATCCTGGAAAAACATAAATGCCAAATTACATCTTACCAGATGGGGTGTATATGAAATGTGGTGGGAAAAACCAGAAGAGACAGTCACCAATGAAGAACTAAAAACATTGGTAGGCACAGTAGCGGTAAATGATTTCATAGAACATCAAAGAATCAAATGGTTTTGACATCAGGTCAGAATGGAACCAAATCACCAACAGCTAGAGCATACTACATGAGAACAGCAGGCTACAAGACAAGAGGCCACCCAAGAAAGAGATGCTTTATGGCATAAATTGTAGGACAAATGAAAGAAGATAACTCTTAGTATTCTTCTAATTTTCCTGTGAATTTTCTGCTACAACTTTCAGACTCTTTCTGCCATTCCAACAATGTCTTCTGTTTCTAAGCTGTGCTCATGATTACCTTCTATAGCGGAAGACAAAGCAGCAGAAGAAAGAAAAAAGAATGGAAGCATGTCGAATGTGGATGAAGGAAGAGACAAACAGCTGCCCAGCTTCTGGATACCATCACTGACACCACAAGCAGAGGCCACGCAGATCAAGAAACCAGTCAGTTCTAAGTTTGTTTGTGTATGGTGGGGCAGTGGGTTTATATGGCGGGGCAGTGGGTTTATATGGTGGGGGAGTGGGTTTATATGGCGGGGCAGTGGGTTTTTATGGTGGGGGAGTGGGTTTATATGGTGTGGGGGAGTGGGTTTATATGGCGGGGGAGTGGGTTTATATGGCGGGGCAGTGGGTTTATATGGCGGAGCAGTGGGTTTATATGGCGGGGCAGTGGGTTTATATGGCGGGGCAGTGGGTTTATATGGTGTGGGGGAGTGGGTTTATATGGTGGGGCAGTGGGTTTATATGGTGTGGGGAAGTAGGTTTATATGGCGGGGCAGTGGGTTTATATGATGGGGGAGTGGGTTTATATGGTGGGGCAGTTGGTTTATATGGTGGGGCAGTTGGTTTATATGGTGTGGGGGAGTGGGTTTATATGGTGTGGGGGAGTGGGTTTAAATTGTGTGATGGGGGAGTGGGTTTATATGCTGTGGTGGGGGAGTGGGTTTATATGGTGTGGTGGGGGAGTGGGTTTATATGCTGTGGTGGGGGAGTGGGTTTATATGGTGTGGTGGGGCAGTGGGTTTATATGGTGTGGTGGGGCAGTGGGTTTATATGGTGTGGTGGGGCAGTGGGTTTATATGGTGTGGTGGGGCAGTGGGTTTATATGGTGTGGTGGGGCAGTGGGTTTATGTGGGGGAGTGGGTTTATATGGTGTGATGGGGGAGTGGGTTTATATGCTGTGGTGGGGGAGTGGGTTTATATGGTGTGGTGGGGGAGTGGGTTTATATGCTGTGGTGGGGGAGTGGGTTTATATGGTGTGGTGGGGCAGTGGGTTTATATGGTGTGGTGGGGAGTGGGTTTATATTGTGTGGTGGGGCAGTGGGTTTATATGGTGTGGTGGGGCAGTGGGTTTATATGGTGTGGTGGGGCAGTGGGTTTATGTGGGGGAGTGGGTTTTATATGGTGTGGTGGGGGAGTGGGTTTATATGGTGTGGTGGGGGAGTGGGTTTATATGGTGTGGTGGGGGAGTGGGTTTATATGGTGTGGTGGGGGAGTGTGTTTATATGGTGTGGTGGGGGAGTGGGTTTATATTGTGTGGGTGGGGAGTGGGGTTTATATTGTGTGGTGGGGGGAGTGGGTTTATATGGTGTGGTGGGGGAGTGGGTTTATATGGTGTGGTGGGGGAGTGTGTTTATATTGTGTGGTGGGGGAGTGTGTTTATATTGTGTGGTGGGGGAGTGGGTTTATATTTTGTGGTGGGGGAGTGTGTTTATATTTTGTGGTGGGGCAGTGGGTTTATATTGTGTGGTGGGGGAGTGTGTTTATATTGTGTGGTGGGGGAGTGTTTATATGGTGTGGTGGGGGAGTGTGTTTATATGGTGTGGTGGGGGAGTGGGTTTATATGGTGTGGTGGGGGAGTGGGTTTATATGGTGTGGTGGGGCAGTGGGTTTATATGCTGTGGTGGGGGAGTGTGTTTTATATGGTGTGGTGGGGGAGTGTGTTTATATGGTGTGGTGGGGGAGTGGGTTTATATGGTGTGGTGGGGGAGTGGGTTTATATGGTGTGGTGGGCAGTGTGTTTATATGGTGTGGTGGGGCAGTGTGTTTATATGGTGTGGTGGGGGAGTGGGTTTATATGGTGTGGTGGGGGAGTGGGTTTAAATGCTGTGGTGGGGGAGTGGGTTTATATGGTGTGGTGGGGGAGTGGGTTTATATGGTGTGGTGGGGGAGTGTGTTTATATGGTGTGGTGGGGGAGTGGGTTTATATGGTGTGGTGGGGCAGTGGGTTTATATGGTGTGGTGGGGCAGTGGGTTTATATGGTGTGGGGGAGTGTGTTTTATATTGTGTGGTGGGGGAGTGGGTTTATATGGTGTGGTGGGGGAGTGTGTTTATATTTTGTGGTGGGGAAGTGTGTTTATATTGTGTGGTGGGGGAGTGGGTTTATATGGTGTGGTGGGGGAGTGGGTTTATATGGTGTGGTGGGGCAGTGGGTTTATATGGTGTGGTGAGGGGAGTGGGTTTATATGGTGTGGTGGGGCAGTTGGTTTATATGGTGTGGTGGGGGAGTGGGTTTATATGGTGTGGTGGGGCAGTGGGTTTATAATATGTGTGTGGCATGGGGGATTTCTATGGTGTGGTGAGTTTTATGTTTATATTTGTGTAGTAAGAGTTAGTGTGTTTATATGCTGTGGTGGAGGAATGGGTTAATATGCTGTGGTGGAGGAGTGGGTTTATATGCTGTGGTGGAGGAGTGGGTTTATATGCTGTGGTGGAGGAATGGGTTAATATGCTGTGGTGGATTAGTGGGTTTATATACTGTGGTGGGGGAGGGGGGAATGGGTTTATACTGTGTGGTGGGCAGTCAGGTTTCTACTGTGTGAGACAGGAAATACAGAGACAGATGCGACTAAGAAGAACCTTAAAGAGGTAGAGGACAGGAAATACAGAGACAGATGTGACTAAGAAGAACCTTAAAGAGATAGAGGACAGGAAATACAGAGACAGATGTGACTAAGAAGAACCTTAAAGAGATAGAGGACAGGAAATACAGAGACAGATGTGACTAAGAAGAACCTTAAAGAGATAGAGGACAGGAAATACAGAGACAGATGCGACTAAGAAGAACCTTAAAGAGGTAGAGGACAGGAAATACAGAGACAGATGCGACTAAGAAGAACCTTAAAGAGATAGAGGACAGGAAATACAGAGACAGATGCGACTAAGAAGAACCTTAAAGAGATAGAGGACAGTAAATACAGAGACAGATGCGACTAAGAAGAACCTTAAAGAGATAGAGGACAGGAAATACAGAGACAGATGTGACTAAGAAGAACCTTAAAGAGATAGAGGACAGGAAATACAGAGTCAGATGCGACTAAGAAGAACCTTAAAGAGATAGAGGACAGAAAATACAGAGACAGATGCGACTAAGAAGAACCTTAAAGAGATAGAGGACAGGAAATACAGAGACAGATGCGACTAAGAAGAACCTTAAAGAGATAGAGGACAGTAAATACAGAGACAGATGCGACTAAGAAGAACCTTAAAGAGATAGAGGACAGGAAATACAGAGACAGATGCGACTAAGAAGAACCTTAAAGAGATAGAGGACAGGAAATACAGAGACAGATGCGACTAAGAAGAACCTTAAAGAGATAGAGGACAGGAAATACAGAGACAGATGCGACTAAGAAGAACCTTAAAGAGATAGAGGACAGGAAATACAGAGACAGATGCGACTAAGAAGAACCTTAAAGAGATAGAGGACAGTAAATACAGAGACAGATGCGACTAAGAAGAACCTTAAAGAGATAGAGGACAGGAAATACAGAGACAGATGCGACTAAGAAGAACCTTAAAGAGATAGAGGACAGGAAATACAGAGACAGATGCGACTAAGAAGAACCTTAAAGAGATAGAGGACAGGAAATACAGAGACAGATGCGACTAAGAAGAACCCTAAAGAGATAGAGGACAGGAAATACAGAGACAGATGCGACTAAGAAGAACCTTAAAGAGGTAGAGGACAGGAAATACAGAGACAGATGCGACTAAGAAGAACCTTAAAGAGATAGAGGACAGGAAATACAGAGAAAGATGCGACTAAGAAGAACTTTAAAGAGATAGAGGACAGGAAATACAGAGACAGATGCGACTAAGAAGAACCTTAAAGAGATAGAGGACAGGAAATACAGAGACAGATGCGACTAAGAAGAACCTTAAAGAGATAGAGGACAGGAAATACAGAGACTGATGTGACTAAGAAGAACCTCAAAGAGATAGAGGACAGGAAATACAGAGACAGATGTGACTAAGAAGAACCTTAAAGAGGTAGAGGACAGGAAATACAGAGACAGATGTGACTAAGAAGAACCTTAAAGAGATAGAGGACAGGAAATACAGAGACAGATGCGACTAAGAAGAACCTTAAAGAGGTAGAGGACAGGAAATACAGAGACAGATGCGACTAAGAAGAACCTTAAAGAGGTAGAGGACAGTAAATACAGAGACAGATGTGACTAAGAAGAACCTTAAAGAGATAGAGGACAGGAAATACAGAGACAGATGCGACTAAGAAGAACCTTAAAGAGGTAGAGGACAGGAAATACAGAGACAGATGCGACTAAGAAGAACCTTAAAGAGGTAGAGGACAGGAAATACAGAGACAGATGTGACTAAGAAGAACCTTAAAGAGATAGAGGACAGTAAATACAGAGACAGATGCGACTAAGAAGAACCTTAAAGAGATAGAGGACAGTAAATACAGAGACAGATGCGACTAAGAAGAACCTTAAAGAGATAGAGGACAGTAAATACAGAGACAGATGCGACTAAGAAGAACCTTAAAGAGATAGAGGACAGGAAATACAGAGACAGATGCGACTAAGAAGAACCTTAAAGAGATAGAGGACAGGAAATACAGAGACAGATGTGACTAAGAAGAACCTTAAAGAGATAGAGGACAGGAAATACAGAGACAGATGCGACTAAGAAGAACCTTAAAGAGGTAGAGGACAGGAAATACAGAGACAGATGCGACTAAGAAGAACCTTAAAGAGATAGAGGACAGGAAATACAGAGACAGATGCGACTAAGAAGAACCTTAAAGAGATAGAGGACAGTAAATACAGAGACAGATGCGACTAAGAAGAACCTTAAAGAGATAGAGGACAGGAAATACAGAGACAGATGTGACTAAGAAGAACCTTAAAGAGATAGAGGACAGGAAATACAGAGTCAGATGCGACTAAGAAGAACCTTAAAGAGATAGAGGACAGAAAATACAGAGACAGATGCGACTAAGAAGAACCTTAAAGAGATAGAGGACAGGAAATACAGAGACAGATGCGACTAAGAAGAACCTTAAAGAGATAGAGGACAGTAAATACAGAGACAGATGCGACTAAGAAGAACCTTAAAGAGATAGAGGACAGGAAATACAGAGACAGATGCGACTAAGAAGAACCTTAAAGAGATAGAGGACAGGAAATACAGAGACAGATGCGACTAAGAAGAACCTTAAAGAGATAGAGGACAGGAAATACAGAGACAGATGCGACTAAGAAGAACCTTAAAGAGATAGAGGACAGGAAATACAGAGACAGATGCGACTAAGAAGAACCTTAAAGAGATAGAGGACAGTAAATACAGAGACAGATGCGACTAAGAAGAACCTTAAAGAGATAGAGGACAGGAAAATACAGAGACAGATGCGACTAAGAAGAACCTTAAAGAGATAGAGGACAGGAAATACAGAGACAGATGCGACTAAGAAGAACCTTAAAGAGATAGAGGACAGGAAATACAGAGACAGATGCGACTAAGAAGAACCCTAAAGAGATAGAGGACAGGAAATACAGAGACAGATGCGACTAAGAAGAACCTTAAAGAGGTAGAGGACAGGAAATACAGAGACAGATGCGACTAAGAAGAACCTTAAAGAGATAGAGGACAGGAAATACAGAGAAAGATGCGACTAAGAAGAACTTTAAAGAGATAGAGGACAGGAAATACAGAGACAGATGCGACTAAGAAGAACCTTAAAGAGATAGAGGACAGGAAATACAGAGACAGATGCGACTAAGAAGAACCTTAAAGAGATAGAGGACAGGAAATACAGAGACTGATGTGACTAAGAAGAACCTCAAAGAGATAGAGGACAGGAAATACAGAGACAGATGTGACTAAGAAGAACCTTAAAGAGGTAGAGGACAGGAAATACAGAGACAGATGTGACTAAGAAGAACCTTAAAGAGATAGAGGACAGGAAATACAGAGACAGATGCGACTAAGAAGAACCTTAAAGAGGTAGAGGACAGGAAATACAGAGACAGATGCGACTAAGAAGAACCTTAAAGAGGTAGAGGACAGTAAATACAGAGACAGATGTGACTAAGAAGAACCTTAAAGAGATAGAGGACAGGAAATACAGAGACAGATGCGACTAAGAAGAACCTTAAAGAGGTAGAGGACAGGAAATACAGAGACAGATGCGACTAAGAAGAACCTTAAAGAGGTAGAGGACAGGAAATACAGAGACAGATGTGACTAAGAAGAACCTTAAAGAGATAGAGGACAGTAAATACAGAGACAGATGCGACTAAGAAGAACCTTAAAGAGATAGAGGACAGTAAATACAGAGACAGATGCGACTAAGAAGAACCTTAAAGAGATAGAGGACAGTAAATACAGAGACAGATGCGACTAAGAAGAACCTTAAAGAGATAGAGGACAGGAAATACAGAGACAGATGCGACTAAGAAGAACCTTAAAGAGATAGAGGACAGGAAATACAGAGACAGATGTGACTAAGAAGAACCTTAAAGAGATAGAGGACAGGAAATACAGAGACAGATGCGACTAAGAAGAACCTTAAAGAGGTAGAGGACAGGAAATACAGAGACAGATGCGACTAAGAAGAACCTTAAAGAGATAGAGGACAGGAAATACAGAGACAGATGCGACTAAGAAGAACCTTAAAGAGATAGAGGACAGTAAATACAGAGACAGATGCGACTAAGAAGAACCTTAAAGAGATAGAGGACAGGAAATACAGAGACAGATGTGACTAAGAAGAACCTTAAAGAGATAGAGGACAGGAAATACAGAGTCAGATGCGACTAAGAAGAACCTTAAAGAGATAGAGGACAGAAAATACAGAGACAGATGCGACTAAGAAGAACCTTAAAGAGATAGAGGACAGGAAATACAGAGACAGATGCGACTAAGAAGAACCTTAAAGAGATAGAGGACAGTAAATACAGAGACAGATGCGACTAAGAAGAACCTTAAAGAGATAGAGGACAGGAAATACAGAGACAGATGCGACTAAGAAGAACCTTAAAGAGATAGAGGACAGGAAATACAGAGACAGATGCGACTAAGAAGAACCTTAAAGAGATAGAGGACAGGAAATACAGAGACAGATGCGACTAAGAAGAACCTTAAAGAGATAGAGGACAGGAAATACAGAGACAGATGCGACTAAGAAGAACCTTAAAGAGATAGAGGACAGTAAATACAGAGACAGATGCGACTAAGAAGAACCTTAAAGAGATAGAGGACAGGAAATACAGAGACAGATGCGACTAAGAAGAACCTTAAAGAGATAGAGGACAGGAAATACAGAGACAGATGCGACTAAGAAGAACCTTAAAGAGATAGAGGACAGGAAATACAGAGACAGATGCGACTAAGAAGAACCCTAAAGAGATAGAGGACAGGAAATACAGAGACAGATGCGACTAAGAAGAACCTTAAAGAGGTAGAGGACAGGAAATACAGAGACAGATGCGACTAAGAAGAACCTTAAAGAGATAGAGGACAGGAAATACAGAGAAAGATGCGACTAAGAAGAACTTTAAAGAGATAGAGGACAGGAAATACAGAGACAGATGCGACTAAGAAGAACCTTAAAGAGATAGAGGACAGGAAATACAGAGACAGATGCGACTAAGAAGAACCTTAAAGAGATAGAGGACAGGAAATACAGAGACTGATGTGACTAAGAAGAACCTCAAAGAGATAGAGGACAGGAAATACAGAGACAGATGTGACTAAGAAGAACCTTAAAGAGGTAGAGGACAGGAAATACAGAGACAGATGTGACTAAGAAGAACCTTAAAGAGATAGAGGACAGGAAATACAGAGACAGATGCGACTAAGAAGAACCTTAAAGAGGTAGAGGACAGGAAATACAGAGACAGATGCGACTAAGAAGAACCTTAAAGAGGTAGAGGACAGTAAATACAGAGACAGATGTGACTAAGAAGAACCTTAAAAGAGATAGAGGACAGGAAATACAGAGACAGATGCGACTAAGAAGAACCTTAAAGAGGTAGAGGACAGGAAATACAGAGACAGATGCGACTAAGAAGAACCTTAAAGAGGTAGAGGACAGGAAATACAGAGACAGATGTGACTAAGAAGAACCTTAAAGAGATAGAGGACAGTAAATACAGAGACAGATGCGACTAAGAAGAACCTTAAAGAGATAGAGGACAGTAAATACAGAGACAGATGCGGCTAAGAAGAACCTTAAAGAGATAGAGGACAGTAAATACAGAGACAGATGCGACTAAGAAGAACCTTAAAGAGATAGAGGACAGGAAATACAGAGACAGATGCGACTAAGAAGAACCTTAAAGAGATAGAGGACAGGAAATACAGAGACAGATGCGACTAAGAAGAACCTTAAAGAGGTAGAGGACAGGAAATACAGAGACAGATGCGACTAAGAAGAACCTTAAAGAGGTAGAGGACAGGAAAGACTGATGATGCAAATGCAGCTCTGAGACCGAATCTAGCAGGATAAGTGCATACTTTAGGGGTGGTCTTTTGTTTCAGTTAAAATACTAACTATAGAGCAGGTTCCATTGTGAGCATTGCAGCTGTTATTGCTGTTCAACTCAACTAACCCACTTGCTCAATGTCTCACACTCCAGCATAACCCTGACAGTAGATGTAAAACCTTGAAAGTGAGATGTTGGTATTTAATACCCACACATGCCACATTCGTCTTTGGTAAAATATGCAGTAATGATGGACCTGACACCGTAATTGCTTTGGTGACTGCTCTGTTGACTGCGTTACACGCTAGCCATCTCACTCAGAGTGATTTGCAGAAACCTCTGTTCTCATACTTGAGGATGTAGACTTATATAAGCTCCATTCTGCCCAGCCAGGACCTTAGCTTTAGATTCAGCTGACAATCCCTGGCAATTTCACAGTACACTGAACTGCTAGAATTTGCAGCCAAACATTTTTTTTACACTACAATTCTGCCAACCCATTACACCCGTGTCTAAACTCTGCTGATGCTGAATGTGCCGAGTGTTCCAGTTGTTATAAACTTTCATGACTTTCAACACATATTACTCCCAGGATGAAAAAGTGCGATGTCCAATGAGTGGAAGGCCACTGAAGTTCAAGGACCTCATTCCGGTCAAGTTCACACCTATAAATGATAGAGATAGCCAGACTTCAGTCATTTCTAAAATTGTAAGCATTATTTCTTTTTTTGTGTGCATGTTCATGCTATCTGTAAATGCAGTGCTGTCTTCTGAATAAATGCAGTTTATTGCTAAGTTCTGTTGTTCTTCTTTGTGCCTTCTGACTCCATGGGGCAGTCAAAGAGGACCTTCGCTTACATAGGATGCACTATTCCAAGGCATGGTCTGAAACCTTAACAAGGCTTCAGGAATAAGTCATTGCATATAAACATGTCATATGAGATTATGCAAGGTGTGGTTGTTGTATACGGAACCTGACATCCCACTTGTGCCAAGAGCTTCAGGCGGAGGAGAACAGTGGGCAAGAATACTGGCTTGTCCTTGAAAGAGGAAATACAACCTGAAAGCTCAATGCCGAAGTAGAGCAAACCATGCCCTTAGCTTTGTTTGGGAACTGGTCTGAGAGGGAAGATCAGAAAAGTGGACGGACAGAGCCTGTTCAGACAGATTGTCCAGCAGCTTTGTTTAGAACATGTTGGTGTTACCTTTACTTTCAAGTTAACAAAGCAGGTCGAAAAAAGGATCAGATTGTCTCAGCAGAACTGTCCAGGCTTTGTGCTATGGGAAGAGGTAACCTTATTCCCGGTATTGCTAATTATCAATAATTAGTATATCATTGTTTCAGCAATACCTCCCAGGCTTTGTGCTATGGGGAAGGGGAACTTTATTCCTGGTATTCCTATTTATCAATAATTAATATATAATCATGGACTATGATTTCCATTGCCCCCCCCCCCCCCCCCCCCCCCCCCCCCCCCCCCCCCCCACCCCCCCCCCCCCCTCCTACTCTTTTTTTGTTCAAAGCAACACTTTGACCCTGAAAGATGGAAAGGTGTCAAAGAATGTGAGGAGAGGAAAAGATGCTGGCATTCGATGCACATGGAGAAAATTTGATAGTAGTGTAACTAGAATGTCCTTGAATTGGAACCATCAGGGTAGAAGAGCATTAGAGGTAGGGATGAGCAGTATGGTGAGGACATGGAAGATCCATAAGAGTTGGCAAAGTATAGGAAGCCTGGTGCGAGAGGCAGGGACTGACAGTATGGCAAGGACATGGAGGGATCCAAAAGAGTTGGCAAAGGATATAAGACTCACTGTGGGAGGCTGGAACTGACAAAATAGCAAGGACATGGAGGGATCCAAAAGAGTTGGCAAAGGATAGAAGACTCACTGTGGGAGGCAGGAATTGACAAAATAGCAAAGACATGGAGGGATCTTTGAGAGTTGGCAAAGGATAGAAGACTCACTGTGGGAGGCAGGGACAGTCAATATGGTAAGGACATGGAGGGATCTTTGAGAGTTGGCAAAGGATAGAAGACTCACTGTGGGAGGCAGGATTGGTCAGTATGGCGAGGACATGGAGGGATCTTTAAGAGTTGGCAACAGATTGGAGACTTGGTATGAGAGGCAAGGATGGTCAATACGGCGAGGATATGGAGGGGTCCATAAAAGTTGGCAAAGGATTTGAGTCATGGTATGTGTTGGTTTTGGGTCTGTGTTCCAGCCAGATGGTTATTTTTTAAGGGCAAAAGAAGAATTACAGTTTTTATAATGTTTTATTCACTGAGAGCTATTTTCTTTTCAGAACCGTTACGTTTGTGCTGTAACAAATGATGTTCTGGGAAACTCTGTACCATGTGCTGTACTCAGACCATCGTAAGTTGAATGTTTCTAGGCTTTTCAGCTTGAATTCCCCATGTGGCTTCCGGGGACCCATTGTGGAGGACAGAAAAATAGGCTGACTGCCCCCTAACAAGTCTGCATATAATTAGACCAGATCTGTAAAACGGATCATCATCATCATCATTAAGTGCCTTGTCAGCTGGCGTTGGCGTTTATGCATTTCCACAGATTTCGGTCTTTGGTGTTCTGAATCACTTCTACTGATGATATTGCTCCATGCCACGATATTCTTCAGTACTCCTTTTCTCATCACATGACCAAAGAACTCTTGCCCTTTTCTCATTATTGTATATAATGTTCTACTTTCAGTAGCCATTTCCAGGCAGTCATTGTTAGACATTCTGGCAGTCCAAGATATTCCTAACATTCTTCTCAAGAACCACATCTCAGTTGCTCCCAAACTCTTCCTAATCTGTTTGCTCACATTCCAAGATTCACTGCCAGACAACAGAACAGGCTTGATGTAACATTTCAGTACTCGGTAAAATGGATATGCACACAAAACTTCAGTTTAGAATGAGACCAAAATTCAGAAATGGGTAAACATCCAGAACTTTCCACCAGAGTTAACAGCTGGTGTACATGAAGAAGAAGCAGAACCTGAGTGTTACAGACTAGATAGACTTTCTCCATTCCTCAGCTCTTAAGCAGATGCACACTAACTTCAAAGGAAACAACCCAAATTGATCACCTTTTACGGCATGTTTTAGAGGAGGGTAATTGATCTGCTGTTTTTCCCTCCAAAATGGGGCCCCAGAACCAAACACAGGGACAGATTTGGCATACAACGCTCAACATCATGTGTTCACAGAGAAAAACATAGCACTGACTACTGTTATTCAGTAGTTCATTCGTAAAGAAATGATTCTTCTTCTTCAGCATTCCGAGCCCTTGAGGGTCATTGCTGCAGATATCACCCATCTCAGTTCATCTCTTTGGTTGGTCGTCTCTGTCCAGTTGGTAACAGGTAGATCTGTCTGAATATTATCTCTCCATCGTCTTCTTGGTCTGCCTCGTGGTCTACGACCATTCATCTCCCTGGTGTATAGTTTTTACCCCTCTGTCATCTGACATTTTCTCAGTATGCCCAAGCCATTCGTCTATTAGCCCTAATGATGCCAGTTATCAGTAGTGATTTAAACAGATGATGAATTTCGCTGTTGCTTCTCATTCTCCATTCCCCACTGTTTGCATCTTTGATGGGTCCAAAGATTCATCATAAGACTGTCTTCGAAAATTTGTAATAAGGCTTCCTCTCTTTTAGTTGTGCTCTGAGTTTCAGAGTCATATAAAACAACTTGTCTTAAATATTTTTACTGAGTTTCCAAGCAGTAATAGTTACATACATACATAAACTAATAGATCATGAATAAAGGATCAGATACAATTAAAGAAATTATGTGAACCTCTTCTTGTATGTAATTTCCAGGGGTGCTGTTGTGACCATGGAATGTGTGGAGAAGATTATCAGAAAAGACATGGTAGACCCCATCAGTGGCCAGAAGTTGAAGGACAAAGACATCATTCCATTACAGCGGGTTTGTTTCATCGTGTGTTTGTTTTGTTTGATGGACTTAACATTTGTTTCTTCTCTCATCCTGGTCTGCCTTTCAGTGTCAGGTTTTTAAAAAGACATCAGGTGCGAGACTTGGTATGTGATAAAAATGCTACTTGTATTTGTGGCCTCGGATGTTCCATCTGTCAATCACTTAACATTTCTAAAACAGATAATCTCTACAAAGGAGTATTAATAGTATATTTGAATACTGTTACCTGATATCTGGGCTTTGTCAGGTTTTTGCTTGAGATTACTTGGCTATGTCAGATTTTGTGCATGAGATGACTATACTTTGTCAGGCTTTTGTGCCTGAGATGACTATACTTTCAGGCTTTTGTGCCTGAGATGACTATACTTTGTCAGGCTTTTGTGCCTGAGATGACTATACTTTGTCAGGCTTTTGTACCTGAGATGACTATACTTTCAGGCTTTTGTGCCTGAGATGACTATACTTTGTCAGGCTTTTGTGCCTGAGATGACTATACTTTGTCAGGCTTTTGTGCCTGAGATGACTATACTTTGTCAGGCTTTTGTGCCTGAGATGACTATACTTTGTCAGGCTTTTGTGCCTGAGATGACTATACTTTGTCAGGCTTTTGTGCCTGAGATGACTATACTTTGTCAGGCTTTTGTGCCTGAGATGACTATACTTTCAGGCTTTTGTGCCTGAGATGACTATACTTGTCAGGCTTTGTGTGCCTGAGATGACTATACTTTGTCAGGCTTTTGTGCCTGAGATGACTATACTTTGTCAGGCTTTTGTGCCTGAGATGACTATACTTTGTCAGGCTTTTGTGCCTGAGATGACTATACTTTGTCAGGCTTTTGTGCCTGAGATGACTATACTTTCAGGCTTTTGTGCATGAGATGACTATACTTTGTCAGGCTTTTGTGCCTGAGATGACTATACTTTCAGGCTTTTGTGCCTGAGATGACTATACTTTGTCAGGCTTTTGTGCCTGAGATGACTATACTTTGTCAGGCTTTTGTGCCTGAGATGACTATACTTTCAGGCTTTTGTGCCTGAGATGACTATACTTTGTCAGGCTTTTGTGCCTGAGATGACTATACTTTGTCAGGCTTTTGTGCCTGAGATGACTATACTTTGTCAGGCTTTTGTGCCTGAGATGACTATACTTTGTCAGGCTTTGTGCCTGAGATGACTATACTTTGTCAGGCTTTTTGTGCCTGAGATGGACTATACTTTGTCAGGGCTTTTTGGGCCTGAGATGACTATTACTTTGTCAGGCTTGTGTGCCTGAGATGACTATACTTTGTCAGGCTTTTGTGCCTGAGATGACTATACTTTGTCAGGCTTTTGTGCCTGAGATGACTATACTTTGTCAGGCTTGTGTGCCTGAGATGACTATACTTTGTCAGGCTTGTGTGCCTGAGATGACTATACTTTGTCAGGCAGAAATGAGAAATGGCGGGGAAAGCCCATAATCTCTCCTGCCTTGCTTTGAGAGCTGACCAGGCATCTCGTGGTTGCCCTAGGTGGGTTCTCCAGGGGTAACACCAGGCATCTCGTGGTTGCCCTAGGTGGGTTCTCCAGGGGTAACACCAGGCATCTCATGGTTGCCCTAGGTGGGTTCTCCAGGGGTAACACCAGGCATCTCGTGGTTGCCCTAGGTGGGTTCTCCAGGGGTAACACCAGGCATCTCGTGGTTGCCTAGGGGGGTTCTCCAGGGGTAACACCAGGCCATCTCGTGGTTGCCCTAGGTGGGGTTCTCCAGGGGGTAACACCAGGCATCTCGTGGTTGCCCTAGGTGGGTTCTCCAGGGGTAACACCAGGCATCTCGTGGTTGCCCTAGGTGGGTTCTCCAGGGGTAACACCAGGCATCTCGTGGTTGCCCTAGGTGGGTTCTCCAGGGGTAACACCAGGCATCTCGTGGTTGCCCTAGGTGGGTTCTCCAGGGGTAACACCAGGCATCTCGTGGTTGCCCTAGGTGGGTTTTCTCCAGGGGGTAACACCAGGCATCTCGTGGTTGCCCTAGGTGAGTTCTCCAGGGGGTAACACCAGGCATCTCGTGGTTGCCCTAGGTGGGTTCTCCAGGGTAACACCAGGCATCTCATGGTTGCCCTAGGTGGGTTCTCCAGGGGTAACACCAGGCATCTCATGGTTGCCCTAGGTGGGTTCTCCAGGGGTAACACCAGGCATCTCGTGGTTGGCCTAGGTGGGTTCTCCAGGGGTAACACCAGGCATCTCGTGGTTGCCCTAGGTGGGTTCTCCAGGGGTAACACCAGGCATCTCATGGTTGCCCTAGGTGGGTTCTCCAGGGGTAACACTTGTAGATAAAGGGACAAAGAGGACACAACACAAATAAGACTGCAGAATGTCCCATGAAATTAAACCAGTAGGCTAACCTAGTGAAAAAAATTGCATGATGAAGTTGAATACCTTGACCAAAAGGTACACATATTGCAGCTATGCTGTAAGCAGACACAGCACAATTACGTCGCTCAGATGAACAAGGAAGAAGAGTGTTTGCCTTTGTAGAAAGTATTTTCTGTTTAGTTTTATTTCAAAATTAGGTCTTCAAAATTATTATAAGTATGCATTTTAGTATCACACCGACGCTAACACTTAGTTTTATTTGGAATACTTGTTAGGGTGCCTCAGGTTTCACAGGAGCTGGTGTCAAGCTGGAAGCAAAGAAAGCTGGTCCTACAATCATGGCTTAAGAGACAACAACTGAACAGAGAAGGAGACACACACACAGTGTGTTTGAGAAAGTGGTTGAGAGAGAGAGAATATGTGTGTTTTAAGAGAGAAATAGTATGTGTTTGAAAGAAAGAGAGAAATGTAAGTGTGTGATAAAGTGTGTGTAAGAGACAACAAAATAAAAAGCAAAATTTTTTTCTGTTGTGATTTGATAGAAGAAAGCAGATTGGGAGTATGTAATAAATAAAAATTAAAAAAAAAAAGCTTTGTGATTGTTGTCTGTGATAATTTCACCATCAGCCAATTTTTAAACGTTAAATGGTTTACTACTTTGAAGTTGGTTTCTTTAGTTCCAGGCAGTTGAATGTTGATTCTGTAGTTCAGTATAATTCTCAGTTTAATTTACAATGGAAAAGAAAGTACAGTAGAACCTTGCTTAACGAGCACCTCTCATAACGAGTAATTCACACAACGAGTAATTCGCATAACGAGCAAAATAAAATTGTAAAAAAATGATTTGCTTAACAAGTGACGATTCGCATAACGAGAGGAGAGGGGAAGTCCAGAATTGTGCTCATGTTACATCAATCTGTGTTTAGCACTCGTTCCAGTAGCATCATAGTCATCAAGATCCAGTTTCTGCCTCCCAACATTACTCTGTTACTCCAGCATATGGACCAGCAAGCTATTTCTAACTTTAAGAAGCTCTACACTAAAGCACTCTTCAAGCATTGTTTTCAGGTGACTGAAGGGACCAACCTCACTCTCAAAGAGTTTTGGAAAAATCACTTCCACATCGTTGCCTGCCTCAAAATGATCAACAAGGCGGGGGAAGAGGTTACCAAGAGAACCCTATTCTGCTTTGGTCGGGGTTGTCGATTTGTGACTTTGAGGGGTTTGAGACAGTACCTGTGTAACTAGTCAACGAGATTGTGTCTTTGGTCACTATCATGAGATTGTATGTGGATAACAGTGATATCGAAGAGCTTGTGGAAGAGCACAGCCAAGAGCTGACCACCCAAGAGCTTATGGAGTTGCATTGTGTTTCACAGCAAGAAGTTTTGGAGGAGGTAACAGAAAAGCAACAATCTTCTGGCAAAAAAGGAGAAATGCTGAAAGCATGGCAGATT